TAAAATACAGTACTTTCATATTCATCATATCAATGAGTTCATATAATATCATATCACATAAATAGCTTTGTTTTAGTTATCAATAGTTATCATATCCTAACGAACAATAAAACACTCGATAATGTACATAACTAACTATTAATGTTATTGTAACTAGGTGGCGTTCGCAGAGGCATCCACAAAATTGAGCGGAGTCATCGTGGGTTCATGTTATATTGCTTTTGTCATACTGCAGTAAAAACAGTCGTCTATGCGTTGCAGGTCTAAAGTAGCATTTTTACTCTCTAGGGAGTAAAAATAGTTTTTAGCCTCTATGGAGTAAACATCAGCTGTTGTCAATTCGTTGTAAACTTGAATTGTAAACGATTGCATGTAATATATCGATTCGTGCTTCGTAATTATTTTAACCTAAAAAGTCTACAGTCTCTTCCGATAGCATTTTAGTATTGCAGATACATTCATCCATTCCCACACTCAACACTGCTCACCTTTACTACTTCCTTCACCACCCCCTACGTCGTAGACCTGTTCCCCTCTCTTCCCATAGCATTTTAGGATTGCAGATACATTAATGTAATTGCCAAAGACAGTTCCCACACACTCTGCACTGCTAGCCTTACTAATTAGTAAGGACCCACGACGGAGGACGTGGTGAAGGAAGTATTAAAGGCTGGCAGTGCAGAGTGGGGGAACCGTTTGGGCAGTTAGATAAATGTGTCAGTAATCTTAAATGTAATGAGAAAGGAAGGAAACAGGTCTATGACGTAGGAAATGGTGAAGCAAACATTCCCCACACTCCGCACTGCTACCCTTTACTACTTCTTTCTCCATTTCCTATGTCGTGGGCATGCTTCCATCCCTTCTCATGGCATTTCAGCTTTGCAGATACAATTGGTTTCCAGTTCCCACATTCCACACTGCTCACCTTACTACTTCCTTCACCTCTCCCTACGTCGCAGACCTGTTTTCCTCCCTTCCCATAGCATTTTAGGATTGCAGATACCTTAATCTAATCGTCATAAACTGTTCCCACACTCCGGACAGCTCGCCTTGACTACTTCCTTCACCACTTCCTACATCGCGGACCTACTTTTCTCCCTTCCCATAGAATTTTTGGATTGCAGATACCTTAATCTAATCGTCATAAAACAGTTCCCACACTCCGGACAGCTCGCCTCGACTACTTACTTCACCAATTCCTACGTCACGTACCTGTTTCCCTCCCCTCCCATAGCATCATAGGATTGCAAATACCTTAATCTTATGTTCATAAACAGTTCCCACGTCCCGAACAGCTCGCCTTGACTACTTCCTTCACCACTTCCCACGTCACGGACCTGTTTTCATCCCTTCCCATAGCATTTTAGGATTGCAGATACCTTAATCTAATCGTCACAAACAGTTCCCACAGTCCGGACTGCTTGCCTTTACTACTTCCTTCACCACTTCCTACGTCACGGACCTGTTTCCCTCCCTTCCCATAATATCATAGGATTACAAATACCTTAATCTAATGGTCATAAACAGATCCCACGCCCCGGACAGCTCGCCTCTACTACTTCCTTTACCACTTCCTACGTCGTGGACCTGTTTCCTTTCCTTCCAATAGCATTTTAGGATTGCAGATGCCTCAATCTAATCGTCATAAACAGTTCCCACACTCCGGACAGCTCGCCTTGACTACTTCCTTCACTACTTCCTACGTCGTGGACCTGTTTCCGTCCCTTTCCATAGAATTTTAGGAATGCAGATACCTTAATCTAAGCGTCATAAACAGTTTCCACACTCCATACTGCTACCTTTACTACTTCCTGCACCACTTCCTACGTCACGGACCCAAGCTAGTGTCGTCATTCGTCATTCGATTATATGTATTATCCATACCGTTTCTGTCCTAATATCTGTGGAATAATGCTATCAGCTATTTCCTTATTTACTGCATTCAAAAGTCAACAGCTGATCATATGTCTTTGTTTATGTGTCAAATACTGCTTCCTTAAGGATTACATTGAAACTTTGAGACCCAGTGGGGCGGATTCCTGAGAGACTATTTTAACGCCATATAGATGTTGGCACTCACCGATATGGTCTTTATCATCATGCAAAATTTCAAAACGATTGATTCAGCCGTCTAGGAGGAGTTTGCGTATTACGAAATGCACAAGAGTCGACGTATAAGAGCTTCGCTCGCTTCGCTCGCTCCGCTCAATTAGTTTGTATTAGAACCTGCAAACAATACTTCTACCAATATAAGCACAACCTTGAAACGTCAACGTATCAAAGTTTGTGTTTAACTTTCCAGTTTACTCTCCTTCACCTAATACGAGGGCTGTGAAACTTTATAACTTTACTTTGTGTACCTCTAAACACTTTCACTTCCAGAAAGTAAATGTGATGGGCACAAAAACCACTTGGCTAATTTACTTAAACAGCATGTCGCTAAAACTTATGTATTAAACCTGTTATTTATATAATTTTGGTATAGAAAACATGAGTAGCGTATTTGGTCTAGAAGTGTAATAAGTGTCATGGATGCCCGGTGGTTTTGAACTTATCTTTATTTCTGGTTTAATATTTTTATAAAAAGAAATATGAAGGTTTTTCAGACAAGGAAAACCTTCTTCGTATTGGATAACACTCTGTTCTAACAAACAAAGCCAACAACATAATTTTCCATAAAACACTTGAACCCTTCTCTCCATATAGAACGTCTAGAAGGTTGAACATACTTTTTCTAAAGTTGAGTGTATACTATCCGGGGACATTGGTGATGAACCCCAAGTTTGTTCAATTCGAAATATACTGTAACACAATCGCCGTTTGTTAAAAAATACTAGACAAACTATCATTGTATTTCACGGTTCATAATGTTGATGAAGACATAAACTAAAATCGCGCAGATTAACGTTTATCTATTGGTGATTTAACCCCAAACATCTGTTTGTCTGTAGGATGTCAAATATTCTGGTACGTTATGTTGATTATTATGGCAAAGAAAAACGATTTAACATCCCAGCTTAACTTTGTTTTGTTGACATTTCAATCCTAAATATTTGTTGGTCTTTTTGGAAGAGTTAAATGAACTGAAAATAACGATTGTAGGCCTTTGCATTCTGGTATACAATGTGGAAAGTATTGCAATGGAAATAAACTGAAATCGGCTAGATTATCTCTTATCTGTTGGTATTATCCCAAACATATGTCTGTGGAAGGACCTCTTAGGTTAGGCGACTGTCTGCAAGTGCGCAATGTTTGTTTCCCTTTTGTAGATAAACCACCCTCCAAACAAACAAGGATGAGGACTTGACACAAACAGGAAACAACCGGTAGACTGGAAATACACCTAGGGGCAGTATGACGAAGGGTGTACAGACAGACACCCTGTACTGGTGTTAGACAGTTAGTACTGTTCTGCTCTTGTCTCCAGGATAACAATATAGACTAGTTCAACCCAATACAATATAACCTATTACGAGCCTCACAGGGTGTACGACTACTATGAAAATTATATTTTTCGCTCATTTTTGATACTTTTAATAATTAAAGTAAAATTGTATAGTATCCAAAGGTATTGCACTAATCATTCATTCTAACTAGAGTAATTTTTAATGTTGGTCAATGAACAAGTATGGTAAACCTATTTAATCGCATTATTATGAGTTCTATTCATGGTTTTATTTACATGACATATTCCTCTAAATAGCCACTCCATAAAATAATCATTTGAATCATAACTAATTCCCCTTACTATTGTATTAAGGCAATTCGTATTTTTCTCTCTATCTTTCTTTGTACGTGTGATTTTAATGCCACTTTGTATTTTTTGGCATATTTTACAAGTTTCCTGGCCCTCATAAATAAGTACATTTAAATTGACTAGTAAATATAACATAAATGTTAAAAAAAATAGACTTATTTATCAGGCTATGTAAAATATATATTAATAATTCTGTTTGAAAGCCAAATGGATGATTTATTTTATGGTTGTAATTAACTCTTTGTCGAATACTGTAATGTGATTCATCACCCGAGCTTAACAGCAATGTTCAAAATTCATGAAAAGACAAAGGGCTTTGTACAGCGTGGTGAATTAACATAAATTGTACGTTAACTAAAAGCATCTCATTATCTACTAATTTTGACAAAGCGCTATTTTAAATAGAACAAAGCAAAGCGCGCATAATTTGAACCACTAGAACAAGCTTTATATTGTAACAAAATTGAAAATTTATTTATTCTGTATTTTATCTCTTGTATACTAAGCAAACAAGCTTCGGGTAAACACATAATAAAAATCACTAACCAAATTAGTTCCCGTAGATATAAGATAGCTTAATGACATGATTGCTGACAGTTTGCATGTATTAGGCGAGGCGAACAAAGAATCGTTCGCTGGTTCCTGGCGTCTTGTGTGGTGTCCTTGATAACAGTTCGGACTAATGATAACAGCTCAGCGGGCGTGTAATTATCAGGCTGACATTGTCAAGGTCGTCGAAATGTCAAGGTCGAAACTTCGGCACAAGTGCACTTCCACGTAAAGTAGTTCGATGTTAAAAAGACAATTCCTTTGTCGGTGGTAAGCAACGTTATTATTCGTTATGAACATATCTGCACCTGCGTTGTATCATTAGTGCTAAGAATTATTGTACAACTCTGAAATATCCTTTTAAATACAAACCATCTTAATACACCTGGTAACATAGGTATTAGTCGAAGGTTTTCGATGCAGTGTTTTGTTACTTTAACTAATATAGTGGTTAAAACTGAAAGAGGAAACATAAATTTGCACTGTAACACTCTATGACTGGACCAGGCTAGACGTTCGACCAGCGTGCGGGACAGACATTTGTCTTCCTACCCTGAGAGTCAGACTTGATTCTCCAGGACGATTGCGTGTAATGTTTCTGTATGAGTCCTGGTTATCAAGCCCACAAAATATCACAAATGCAAGACTATTGTATGTATGTACGGTACTAACATAGCGGTGTCTTGTGTTTCAGAGCCCAAGAAGCGGAGGTTCAGGCCACTGCGAGGTCTGCGCCGCATGTTCCGCCGCAAGGAGCGTCGTCCGCAGCCTGTCACAGTGTCAGCTGATGAGCTGAGTAGTGGCAGTGGCGGTGCACCGGCCGAGCACCCGGACACTGACAATCGCCGCAGGTAACAACACATATACTGTAGATGTAAGGTATAATGTTCCGCGCAAGGAGCGTCGTCCGCAGCCTGTCACAGTGTCAGCTGATGAGCTGAGTAGTGGCAGTGGCGGTGCACCGGCCGAGCACCCGGACACTGACAACCGCCGCAGGTAACAACACATATACTGTAGATGTAAGGTATAATGTTCCGCGCAAGGAGCGTCGTCCGCAGCCTGTCACAGTGTCAGCTGATGAGCTGAGTAGTGGCAGTGGCGGTGCACCGGCCGAGCACCCGGACACTGACAATCGCCGCAGGTAACAACACATATACTGTAGATGTAAGGTATAATGTTCCGCGCAAGGAGCGTCGTCCGCAGCCTGTCACAGTGTCAGCTGATGAGCTGAGTAGTGGCAGTGGCGGTGCACCGGCCGAGCACCCGGACACTGACAATCGCCGCAGGTAACAACACATATACTGTAGATGTAAGGTATAATGTTCCGCGCAAGGAGCGTCGTCCGCAGCCTGTCACAGTGTCAGCTGATGAGCTGAGTAGTGGCAGTGGCGGTGCACCGGCCGAACACCCGGACACTGACAATCGCCGCAGGTAACAACACATATACTGTAGATGTAAGGTATAATGTTCCGCGCAAGGAGCGTCGTCCGCAGCCTGTCACAGTGTCAGCTGATGAGCTGAGTAGTGGCAGTGGTGGTGCGCCGGCCGAACACCCGGACACTGACAATCGCCGCAGGTAACAACACATATACTGTAGATGTAAGGTATAATGTTCCGCGCAAGGAGCGTCGTCCGCAGCCTGTCACAGTGTCAGCTGATGAGCTGAGTAGTGGCAGTGGTGGTGCACCGGCCGAGCACCCGGACACTGACAATCGCCGCAGGTAACAACACATATACTGTAGATGTAAGGTATAATGTTCCGCGCAAGGAGCGTCGTCCGCAGCCTGTCACAGTGTCAGCTGATGAGCTGAGTAGTGGCAGTGGTGGTGCACCGGCCGAGCACCCGGACACTAAGGCCTCTCGCCCACTATACGATTTCGGTCGTACGACACTGTGTCGTACGATATTCTTATCATATGTGTGGTCCTCGCCCACTATACGACACTTTGTCGGATAAATGGCCAGTTGCTCGGTAGCCCTGGAAGAGTGAGGTGTGGGTGTGTTGCGCAATATCTTAAAACAGTGGTTCTGTATCAAATAGTAAAACAATGATTCCGTACCTGTTGTTGCAATGTGGCTGCTGTGGCGTAGATTAAGCGATAGTGGCCAATGTAGGCCTACAGCATTAAAGAAACATTTATTTTTATGTGTAAATTATTTTTTAAGTTAATGTATTGAAAGAAATTTTCAAACTATATTAGTCCATGCATTTTACAAGTTTTTAAATTTACCATAACTATCATAGGGTTATGGGATAGTCTGGTAAAAAGTATGTATGTTAATTGTTTTTGGATTAGTTTTTAAATAGATTTAATTTTATCAATATAATCTACAAAAAATATATTTATATGTTTTAGTGAAACTTTTTTACACAATTTAATTAATAATTGAGATTATACAATAATAATAGCCAAACTCGCATTTTTCAATAATTATTTCGGTATATTTACTCATAAGTGATGCAGTATTTAAACGTAATATAAGGAAAAATCTAAACAAATTGTAAAAAATAAATAGGAAGATCAAAATTACGCAAAATAATGGTTGAAAAATAAGACCAAGTGATATGTCAAACATTATAATAAAAAAGTATAAATGAATTGTAAAAAATATTTATTCACGATAAGAAATACGCAAAGTGATATAACAACTATAATAATGACTAAGTATGAGTTAATTGCAAAAAGTATATATAAGACTACTGGGGAGAACGCACGACATACGATAAAAATCGTATAGTGGGCGAGCGCCCATTTGATTGTGTACGCCACTGCGAGTGAAACAGTCGTACGACAGTCGTGTATCACAGTGGCAGTGGACGACTGCTTCACGACAGTTTGTCGTAGTCGTGAGATTATCGTACAGTGGGCGAGCTCTCATAAGATCCAATGGTTCACTGTGGAAATGTTGTCGTTCCGACACAGTGTCGTACGACCGAAATCGTATAGTGGGCGAGGGGCCTAACAATCGCCGCAGGTAACAACACTATACTGTAGATGTAAGGTATAATGTTCCGCGCAAGGAGCGTCGTCCGCAGCCTGTCACAGTGTCAGCTGATGAGCTGAGTAGTGGCAGTGGTGGTGCACCGGCCGAGCACCCGGACACTGACAATCGCCGCAGGTAACAACACATATACTGTAGATGTAAGGTATAATGTTCCGCGCAAGGAACGTCGTCCGCAGCCTGTCACAGTGTCAGCTGATGAGCTGAGTAGTGGCAGTGGTGGTACACCGGCCGAGCACCCGGACACTGACAATCGCCGCAGGTAACAACACTATACTGTAGATGTAAGGTATAATGTTCCGCGCAAGGAGCGTCGTCCGCAGCCTGTCACAGTGTCAGCTGATGAGCTGAGTAGTGGCAGTGGTGGTGCACCGGCCGAGCACCCGGACACTGACAATCGCCGCAGGTAACAACACTATACTGTAGATGTAAGGTATAATGTTCCGCGCAAGGAGCGTCGTCCGCAGCCTGTCACAGTGTCAGCTGATGAGCTGAGTAGTGGCAGTGGTGGTGCACCGGCCGAGCACCCGGACACTGACAATCGCCGCAGGTAACAACACATATACTGTAGATGTAAGGTATACTGTTCCGCGCAAGGAGCGTCGTCCGCAGCCTGTCACAGTGTCAGCTGATGAGCTGAGTAGTGGCAGTGGCGGTGCACCGGCCGAGCACCCGGACACTGACAATCGCCGCAGGTAACAACACATATACTGTAGATGTAAGGTATAATGTTCCGCGCAAGGAGCGTCGTCCGCAGCCTGTCACAGTGTCAGCTGATGAGCTGAGTAGTGGCAGTGGCGGTGCACCGGCCGAGCACCCGGACACTGACAATCGCCGCAGGTAACAACACATATACTGTAGATGTAAGGTATAATGTTCCGCGCAAGGAGCGTCGTCCGCAGCCTGTCACAGTGTCAGCTGATGAGCTGAGTAGTGGCAGTGGCGGTGCACCGGCCGAGCACCCGGACACTGACAATCGCCGCAGGTAACAACACATATACTGTAGATGTAAGGTATAATGTTCCGCGCAAGGAGCGTCGTCCGCAGCCTGTCACAGTGTCAGCTGATGAGCTGAGTAGTGGCAGTGGCGGTGCACCGGCCGAACACCCGGACACTGACAATCGCCGCAGGTAACAACACATATACTGTAGATGTAAGGTATAATGTTCCGCGCAAGGAGCGTCGTCCGCAGCCTGTCACAGTGTCAGCTGATGAGCTGAGTAGTGGCAGTGGTGGTGCACCGGCCGAGCACCCGGACACTGACAATCGCCGCAGGTAACAACACATATACTGTAGATGTAAGGTATAATGTTCCGCGCAAGGAGCGTCGTCCGCAGCCTGTCACAGTGTCAGCTGATGAGCTGAGTAGTGGCAGTGGCGGTGCACCAGCCGAGCACCCGGACACTGACAATCGCCGCAGGTAACAACACATATACTGTAGATGTAAGGTATAATGTTCCGCGCAAGGAGCGTCGTCCGCAGCCTGTCACAGTGTCAGCTGATGAGCTGAGTAGTGGCAGTGGTGGTGCACCGGCCGAGCACCCGGACACTGACAATCGCCGCTGGTAACAACACTATACTGTAGATGTAAGGTATAATGTTCCGCGCAAGGAGCGTCGTCCGCAGCCTGTCACAGTGTCAGCTGATGAGCTGAGTAGTGGCAGTGGCGGTGCACCGGCCGAGCACCCGGACACTGACAATCGCCGCAGGTAACAACACATATACTGTAGATGTAAGGTATAATGTTCCGCGCAAGGAGCGTCGTCCGCAGCCTGTCACAGTGTCAGCTGATGAGCTGAGTAGTGGCAGTGGCGGTGCACCGGCCGAGCACCCGGACACTGACAATCGCCGCAGGTAACAACACATATACTGTAGATGTAAGGTATAATGTTCCGCGCAAGGAGCGTCGTCCGCAGCCTGTCACAGTGTCAGCTGATGAGCTGAGTAGTGGCAGTGGTGGTGCACCGGTCGAGCACCCGGACACTGACAATCGCCGCAGGTAACAACACTATACTGTAGATGTAATGCTTCAGTAGGTGAAAGAGTTAAACAGTAGATGAAGTGGGAAGGGCGAGTACTGAGTACCAATACAGTAGTGTCTTTAGGATGCTGCCCACTGAAGTAGACATCGCAACTATTAATCACTTGAAGTTGAAGTTAAGTTTTTTTCAAAAGTACAAGTTTATTGAACAATTCACAGAATGTGCTACTGCGTGCACTTTTATTAATTTCCCTATTATTTTTTGTTATAACTGTAGATGATGTGACGTAAAAGATGAGATTGTTGTAGAAAATCGCCCTTTTCTTTCAGATTTGTGGCATTTATTAAATTGAGCTAATTCGGCAGATATCAGAAACTAATATCAGCACACACAATCAGCGGCCCGATTCAATCCAAGTTAATTTTTTTGCTGCAAAAAGTTATAACATGCCTGCTCAATCAGAAGTCAAAGATATTGTATCATGGGTGTGTATAACCTGCAGCAATCCTAATGCGAGTACTTTAATACTAATGAGTGCCAACAAACAGTGCTGCGTTAGCATTAATGGCGCTAACTACAGTTTGGATTTTCCGTACGTTTCAAACAGATTTCAGCGTTTGAGGTGCAAACATATCTATCCAACGTTTGATTTATACATGATTGATTTGTATTTGTAACATTTTAATGGACATTGTGAACCGTCCCCAAAGTATAAGTATATGCAAGTGGTGCTGCGATTTAGCTAGACATTTTGGTATAGGAACGTTGTCTTTCGCCTCGCCTTGTTTACGTATTTAATTATATAATAATTGACTGTCCATAGTCTTTAGTGAATATAGTAAATATTCATACTTAAATAAGGAATTACTCACATTCTCAAGCATTGGCTCTAGCTCAAAACTACAACCTCTATGTTGTTTCTTAAATCAAGCAAAATCGTTCGGTGCAAATAAGCAGTTTGATTTCTGTAATCAGACAAAATGATAACTCAACCGATTTTTATACAATAATTTCCTCTGTTAACTCTTTCCAACATAGGATCACTCTTGTCTACGAAGGTATAATTATTGCATCGCTATAAGGTGTGGGTTAATTATTTTTATATACTCTGCCCAAACATCTTGAATTATCATAATTCATTGAACTTATCCGTGAGTAACCACTCGAGGGCAAGCCATATGCAATCTGCAATCACTCGCAGTCTCATACATTTTCTCTAGCACGTATTTACTCCTGTGACAGATGCCTGAGGGGCGACGTTTTTGGTGTGATTGCGAGATAGGTCAAGTTGCAATTGCAATTCGAGTGCAAGGTCCCTAGGCAGAGTGGAGTGGTGAAGTTGATGGAATGGAATGGCTTGCAGCAACAGGCCTGTTGTATCGCTGCCAAATAGCAACGCATGATTCGTACTGTATAACTGCCGCTGTTAAATAGGCCAATGTCGGCTGTAGTGGTAGTAAATGAGTAATTAACATGCAGTTGACCTTTTTAGGACCGCTTTAACGATCTCTGGTCACTCAAGTCGGGTTTTATTGCTTAAAGTTGGACACTAGTGTTAACGTTGACTAACTGGATTGAAATGCGATGATTAAAGAGTCATCGGGCTTGATTCTTGTGGATTTCACTTTTCCTTGATATTGCGGCCATCTTGCAATAAAAACATATTTTCTGTTGATTTTTAAGTTTCAGTACCCTTGGCCTTTGAATAGACCTAATAATACTTTTGCTACTAACTGTTTAGGGTCACTCTAATGATCTTTAGTCACTTAAGTACAATTTTATTGCAACCTCGAATACACAAGCTAACGAGGTAACTGGTTTAAAAGTTGGTCCAATTAATTTAGGTTTCAGGGTTAAGTTCTGCGGTTTTCACTTTTACTTGTTTGTTGGTCATACAGCAAAGAATCATCAGTTTAATGGCTTTGGTTTTTCCAGATTTAGTACCTTTTGAATTAACAATGTTGTTATTGGCACATAAACTACTGTTTACTGTTTATTGCTGAAACTAGGATACAACGAGTAGCTTATTTCAGTAGGCCTAATTCGGTTTTGAGGTTAATTCCTGCAGATTTCACTTATAAATATTCTTGCTGCATTTCGGTAGTAAAAAAACAATTAATGTAATGACTGATGATTTTCTATAGGCCTAGTTTAAAGCTACTTTGAAATATCTCTTTTCGAATCGTATACACAGCATCACGGATACATTGAAAGATAATGGATATAAAACATTTAAAGTATCATCTTACGCAAAAAGTAATTATTTATTTTACTTTCTTGTGTTGTAAATTAATAATTAGCAGTTAAATTAAGAGTAGATAAATATAAATGCACAATATCATATTTCCATCAACATCAAATGTTGTAGATTGACATTGAAACTTAAAAACTACTTGGACATTTTTTTTGTCTATAACGGCTAGCAACTTTACTTTACTTGGCTGCGAAAAACCCCGTCTAATAATTTTACTTGTCGTATATTTCATCCTTCAGAAGGCGTTTAGAGCCAAGGTCTATAATTCTAAATACGTATTACTCTTTATTTTACTGAAAAACAGTTTTACTATGCGCAAATGTTAAGTAGTTTTCAAAATATTATGTGTGTTTTACCACTTACCATATTTATCGTTTCTCCCTCTGCTGGTGAACATTAGTACCGTAGAGAGTAAACCGTATTTGTAGAGGAACGTTAATATTTACACATTGTACAAATGCAATACTTTAACGTAGTTTACTGGTGATATAGTTAATGTCGTTTAGTGATGAGACATATAATAGAGCCATTTATATTATTAACAGGACGTAGTATACACTCCACGGTGGTGAGTAGGCCACCTGAGGCCGATGACATGTGGAGGGTGTTTTGTTTTCATCCCCTTGACCTCACATACTCTTACTCTCCACAAACCACCACTTTCACCTCTTTTGTGTAGTTTATTCGTGATTGACCTGATTTAAGTGATATTTAATATTTTAACTTAATACAACTAGGCTTATTTAGTGATTTTTGTTATGAAAAATAACGTATTCAAATAAAAAATAACTAATAAAAAAGGTCCAAGGTTAACAATAAATTTACGAAAATATATATTGAAAACGATGGGATGAGTAAATAAGTTTATATATGTGTGATAAAATTAAACGTCTACAAGATGATGAAGTTAAAACCTTATTATTTCATAAAATAAATTGCATCTTTTTCATTTTGTATTGGTTGGATTTCAAATATGGTTTGATTAATTCATCATAACTAAATTAAATCATAAAATTAGTTTGATGTTTTATTGGATTTCGATGTAACTAAACTATTGCCTTAGCGATTGCCTTCATTAAATCCGATGCGTATCAAAAGCTATTTTTTATCTACTTTTATAAAAACTGACTGTGTTGTACAGATCGTTCGTTGAATGTTTAATGTTTGCTGGTCGTTCCTTTTCCTTTTGTCGTACTGTACGTACACGTACAGAAATACAAGAAATTGATTTTACTTTCCATAGCTACTAATAAGAGGTATAACAAGGTTTTTGTTTTTTCTTCTTTAAAATACTGTATATTCAATATATGTATCTCGTGATTCTCTATCTGTGTAAACAACCTAGGTAAACAAATTCAAAGCTATTAATCGCTGTGTCAAATTCATATTGAAATATAACTTATTCCCTTTGAAATCGGAGCCTGGTTCTGTAGCAAGTAGGCATACATATAATCAGACCCCGGCTTTCAGATCTCCCATTCAAATGTCAACCCTGTATTGTAATTCAAATCACTTGCATGTTAGTGGCATTGAAAAGGATTACAGTCAATAACCTTTATTTAATCGTTCACATTCACTAGACTTTAAATTTATAAAAACTTCTCACTTCATAGTTTTCCATTCTAGTGCTTTTTTTATGTGGAGATTACTTAATTCGTCTCATCTATCAGAATATCTTAAACGATTGTATGCTCACTGAAAAATTCTGTTAAAATGTAGATCAACTTAAAGTTGACACATGAACCTGTAGGCTATTTACATTTCCAAGTCATTAATTTATTTTTTTTCATATTTTGAGTAAACCATTGCACAAAATCAGTAGGTAATGATAGGGTAGCATTAACGTATTTTACGTTGATTATAAACATTGTTTACATAACAACAATCTGGGTTATAGTGAGTTTAAAAACTTAAAGATAATGCCTATTTTAACAACAATTACAGAATACAGTTGCGTTTCAGATTCGTTTTCATGATAATCAATGTTGATATATTCCAACAGCATGTTTATTACGGTATTCAACTTTTTCTGAATTTAAACGTGCGAGTGATTTAATAACTGGCAGCTCTAACTGTACCACATACCTCCGCCCTGAACCTACTCTCCTTGCCCTATCCCGGGTGCAGGAGCAAGGACGGCAGGTTCAGTCCCCTCCACCCTCTATGAAGTGTTTGTGGCAGCACAGTGAGGTGTGAAGTGTTTATGACATGTTGACGTAAGCACTATCAGCTGGAGACCTAGGTAAACTGTTCTGTATCTCTACGGTGAAGAGCGCCCAGGGAGGTGATTTAGGGGTTGTAATGTTTGTGAGAGGTCACTCACCTACTGAAAAGGGGTTTGGAGCTCTTGAACAAATATTCTGTAGATAGTCCAGGCAACGAAGACAGAATAGTAGAGGAAATAATTCATTTATAAGCCAAATTTAATTTTTTCAGCTCCTGGTTTGATGTATACATAGTAGATTCTGTAAGTTATAGTGTTGAGGTACTATAGTTGTACCGTGTTATGGTTGTAGGAGCGGTAGTGGGCTACACTCTGGTCTCAGCTTGTCCCACGACTCTGTATTCTCCCCAGAGACGAGGCAAGGCCAGGACCTAGACTCCTCGTCCTCACTTTCCATGCAGAGGCTGGCCCATGCCAACACCAACGTACAGGTAGGCCCAATGTACACTATACATAATTATACTTCTTGCTGCTTATCTGCTATTTTGGAGTGTTTTTGTTGTCCTAGGACGCTAGTCTCTAGCCCGGGATCGTTATTAACATTACTTCAGGCTATAGCTAGAGGTTGCGGCATTATCACGTAGATAAAATCCATTAGTGATTGTTGGGGTTTGATCCCGGGGCTTCAGGAAGTCCCGCGTTCTACCACTATACTTGATCGCTCTCCTGTACCAGAGTGTAAAACATACAAACTTCGTGAACATTTTGCTGATAACCTATTTTTCCTGATAACGCCGATCTAAATGTAAATGAAAGGCCAAAAATCTATTGGTGCATCTTTGAACAGAGTCGAAAGACATTCAATTGGCAAGGGGTGAGTACTTACTACTAATAAGTACCAATTCCCACCCTCTGAACATTATGTGCAAATAACACAATTCAAAACAATAAAAGAAATTCATATGAGTGCACTTTGGTGATTCAATTAAATTAATTTATTGTTTTTTCCTACACCTATTCAGCACTTTAAAATGGGAACGGGATTAATATTTTCAAAGTTTGTCACAGCTTCTACTTGAACGTGGGAATGGGAGTGTACTCCATCGTGGTGTTTCTGTCAAAGTAGGTACTCGACCGATATTTTAATAGACAGCTTAAGGGAGTTTTAAAACGGATATTTGATCGCAAATAACTCTGACCAGTGTCATATGTTGCGTTTTTATACCACTGTTACTTATTTATTATTTGAACGCAGCCCCCTCGGTCTAATAATCTAACCTAATAAACCTTCTCATGTATTACTACTCCTATTGGCAACAACTTTCATTCGCAAATTTGCTCATAAAATATTGCTGAATACGAGTTGATCCTCAAGTATGCACTTCACTAATGCTCCCTTTCATTAACAAAACTGTGTTTACCGTTGATTCCGCGTTTATTAATTAACGTAACTGTCCAGTGAACATAATTCATATCATCAATTAGCATTGTGTTTTCTTTTACTGCTACAGGTTGTTTTGAACGGCATTAAGCGTATCACTAGTTTAAATTAACTAAACCATTAGCCTAAAAGGGTTCAAATTTTCCCTTCGTTTTGTTGCGTATTTCTTCATTCTTACAACAGAATATATTTATTTTTTCCTGCCTGAATTACAACGCACAACAGAAAATAAGTGTTTACTTGAACATGGACAATATTTTTTAAATATTTCAAAAAGGGTTTTCTTTTTGAATTATTATTTAAATTTAAAAATTATTTATTCAACTATTTTGACTTATTAATACTCATATTTTTCAGGTTAAATTTACATGTAAATTTAACACTTTGGTCGTAATGTCATGTAACACTTGATAGTATGTTAAATTTAAAAGTGAAATTACAAGAAAGAAATAATAATTACATCATAGTTATTCAACTACTGATTTCACCCCTAAAATTTATTGAAAAGAATGTTGAGAGAATTCGACAAATAAAAGAGAACGTTGAGAAATAAAAGGACAAAATATCGTTTAGGTAGGTGTTGTGCACTCAGATTATTTAATGCCTGCAGAAGCGAGTGCCGCAATCCAGCTACAGCTCAGTGCGCTGGTTGCATCGGTAGATTGCAGGCAAGCAGTTTATTGCATTGAAACCTGCATATCAGCTAATTGCCCCTGTTTAAAAATGTTTTAATAGTAATAACATTTGTAGGAATTATATTTTTAACAGATTAATGCTCTTTAATTTAAACTTAAAATTGTCAAATTTGATAGACAATTAATTCAATTAAGATCGAGATCATATTTTTCGAAACAGCAGTAGATGCTGGCATTTGTACAACCGTACAACCTAAATAAGTCATAATTACATTAAACCATTGCATATGTTTTGTGGGGGATTTTATATTATTTATGGATCAACAGTATTTTCTCGTAACTGTGAGCCATTTGTGATAGGCGTGATTCGAAGCAGGGTCTCCAATAAAGTGTTGCCCTGTAACCACCAGATTAAAGTATAACCATTGTTTACAACGAGTATTATCTACATACAATCACAGTTTAAATAAATTAAGTACAACTTTTGGTGTACAAAATCTCATGTCGTACTATTCCGCCTTCACAAGTGGACGCAATACGTTGTAAAGACTCCCGTTTAGTAATTAAAATTTTTGAAATCTGGTCAAGTATACTGAATACATGCCTATTCTTGAAAGCCGTGCTGAAACTGTTATTATTGTATCGGGAAAATTATTTACTTTTTGTATGTGTTTTCAGACAACTTTACGAAATTTAGTTAAAATATTACGTACTCGACCGTAACCGTAGGTATTATTAAGCTCTAACAATGTTTTGTAGCCAAAGTTATCAAAAAATCACTAATCAAAAGTCTTACAAAGCTCTGTGGACTAATTTTTCTATGTTTTGTCTACATCTTAATCTCTAATGTAGCTACAATGTCTAGTTGCCATGTAGCTATGTAGCTATAATGCTATGTAACCATGTTGCTATGTAGCCATGTAGTCAAGTAGATAGGCTGGTGTATTAAACAGGAAGCAAGGTTTATCAGTCACTGAAGGTCCCCATAGTATTGTTATTGTACCACCACCTGTGGGCCTATGTCCTGCATACCATTGCCCTGGGACCAATACAATACTGAATGGCTAAACTAAAAGAGCTTTAACATTTTACTTAGTCTGATTAGTCTTCATGTTTTTACCACAAATAGATACATACCTTCTCTATGTTCTATGCTTTAAAGATCTGAATAAAATAAAATCTTATCCAAATATTTTGTCTCAAGAGATTTGTATTAGTAACTATTATATTGTTATTTAATTCAGCAAAACGGTTTGACCAACCATTCAAGCTTGCTACAGGATATTCATCCTTTGGCGAAACAAACGTGTGTAAAACAACGAGCATATAATTTGAATTTATATTATGTGCTCGTTGGTGTAAAACGGCTGATGTTTCTACACCATAAACGTAGATCGTAGACAATCTGTTTGCAATGTATTTTTGGTTAACACTATTGAAGTTCAATCAACAATAGTATGACTTAGAAAATAAATAAAATTTATAGTTTATAGATTATATTTATAGACCATGTCTAGCATAGAATTCAGTGTCTGAGACTTCGTTGCAAAATGGACGGGTTCGATCCCAGACATAAAAATATTTCAGAGGTTTAGACAGTTCTCTCTAAAATTATTTAATTATTTCCCCCTACAAAATGCCACTGGCGTTGATAATATTTTACAGTTGTGTATACTTTATTTTCAGTATTTGATTTTGATCAATCTTATAAAAGTATACATAACCCTTGGAAAAAGCCGCGTACAACAATCACACACATCAATAAGCTCGATGCATGTTATTCGGATAATTTGGAAACGAATGATGGAAATTTTGCTAATTTATAAAAGTAATTTGATAAGCTCACAAACAAACTACTCGTACTTTGTTTTGTATTGGCTTATCAGTCTTTTAAATTTTCTCATTGTCAACTTTAATTTTATGTTTTAATCGTACTTTAGTAGTTTCCCCAAGTATAATCTATGTAATAATATACTCTCTGGATGAAAACTATTTTTACATTTTTTTATCGCACTCAATATTCCAGTTCTTGTACAATTAAACTTTGTGATACAACAATAAATATTTTTAAACATCAAAACGCTCTGTACATAAACAGGGCAGAAACTTACTTTGAAACTGCCTTTGGCTAATTAATAAAGATGACAATTGCTTATGGGAGATTGTTCAATGTATGACATAGATGAGTTGTCCGTGACCTGAGTGACTTGTATTTGTCGATTCCTTGGTCATCGTGTATGGGTGACCTGGGCACTGGGCAGATCTGTAGGTCGACTTTCTCCTCCCACTGGACAGCGACCTCAAGCTGCGATCTTGTATTGTGCGTTCACATTTACATACACACAGACTGTGTATGGTTTAAACTTGTCAATGTTTTGTTTTGTTTGCTTTTGTTTTGTCTTATGTTGAATAGTAAAAATACATTATAAGCTTGTCTTCAAATGTTTTAGGATTACTCGGTTTTCATTGTTTAAAGTAAAGAGCGTGTCAATTGGAGTGGCTTATATGGAGAGTTATACGATAGGCACGTACTTTCCGTACTCTAAAGACGGACGTACCTTACAGTTATAAAAACAAAATGGAAATATACTCTGATTATCGAATGAATGTGCCTTGCGGAGCGGCCGCTCGGCGACCGAAATTAAGGACGAACATTCTATTTCACAAAATTGTGGAAACGTAAAAACAGAAGGTTATAAATATCCAATAATCTGTGTTGAAATAGTCAGTTAAGCACGTTTTCAGCAAATATTTTGAATGGAATTAATATTTGTAAATGTATATATTTAAAAAAAAACACAAATTGCAAAATTTTAAATCCAATTCGTGTTTTTACAAATAATATTACCTATTTAATCTGAAAAAGATACAAAATACTCAAAACATTTTCTGAAAACGTGCTTAACTGACTATTTCAACACCGTTTATTGAATATTTATAACCTTCTGTTTTACGTTTCCACGAGTTTGTGAAATAGAATGTATCACGTAATGTGTCCACTATTGATTTCAGACAAACCGTTGGAGCTGTAATGATAAAATAATATAAATAATTAAAACCCTACGTGATTCACGCTGTATTTAAGCAGTTTAGTTTTTTTATCTCAAATACAGTACGGTAGTGCAAAAGTCTGTCCTCTCGCCACCCGAAAAAATTCTGTTGTTTTTTAATATTTGGTTAAAAAGTATAGGCTATTTAAAAGTTTAAACGCCAATGATAAGGATATTTAACATTATTTTGCTTAACATAATGTGTCTTTTCTGTAGGCACACTAATGTGGAACAGGCATTCATTCTGAAGTTTAAATTTGTACTCATTTATAATTTTAAAAAACTAACTAGGTTTAATTTACTCTTCAACAGAGAATGCTTCTCTCAAGCCGATATCTTCATTTTATGTTATGTTAAAATCAGCT